AAAAAAAAAAAAAAAAAAAAAAAATCTTAGCTCATGTTATTGTTATGATGTTTATATTCATTGAGGTTTTAGGTTCTTGTACATGGAGTATCTTTTTTCTATTTATTTCCCCTCCTCCTCCCCTGCTCCCTTGGACCACTTCCCTATTGCAAGAGTTCTGTCCCCTCATCTCCTTTTATCCATCCTTTATTATTCTCTTTGTGCTTTGCCCCACTCAAATGAGAGCTACCAATTGGTATTTCAGTTTGTACGTTCTGATTTTTTTCACTCAACATTATATTTTCCAGGTGCATCCATTTTCCTACAGATGTCTCAGATGTGTCACTCTTTATAGCCAAGTAATATTCCATTACATATAGATACCACATTTTCTTTATTTTTAAAAAATTTAAAATTGATCTCAGAACCTTGCATTTACCAGGCAGGTGATGTACTGCTGAGCTGTATCCCTGACTCCACGTTTTGTTTATGCAGTCATCTGTTGATAGTTCTGTAAAGATTGCTTCCAGGATTTAGCTGTTATTACATTGGTATGGATGTATCACTGTAGTGTGATACCTTAAGCCTTTGGGGAAGATACCTAGCAGGAAGATAGCCGGGTCTTATGGAATTTCTAATTTCAGTTCTGTGAGACATCTCCATACTGATTTCCATAATGGTGGTTCTAGTTGACATTTCAACCAACAATAAAAGAGAGTTCCTTTTTCACCACAGCCTCACCAGCATTTGCTATTGTTTGATTTCTTAATGATTGCTATTCTTTCCACAGTAAGATAGAATCCTAATGTTGTTTTAATTTGTTTTTCTCTAATGGCCAGAGATGTTGAACATTTTTTCATATATTTACTATTTGTATATCTTCCTCTGTGAAGGGTCTGTTCATTTCTCTTGCCCATTTCTTGACTGGGTCTTTAATTTTAGTTGGCTTATTTTTTCTCTGAGTTCTTAAATATTCTAGATATTGTCCTCCGAGGAGTAGTTGGCAAAATGTTTTTCTCATTCTGTGTGTTTTCTCTTCACTGTACTGATTGATTCTTCTGCTGTACAGAAGCTTTTTAGTTTGCTATAATGCCATTTCTCGATTCTTGTAGTTATTTCTTGTGCAGTTAAGGTTCTCTTTAGAAAATTCTTTCCTACACCTATGTCTTCAAATGTTTTACCTATTTTATCTTCCAGTAGGTTTAATGTTTCTGTTTTAATGTTTAGATCTTTGATCGATTTTGATATTAATGTAGTATATGGTAAGAGATAAGGGTCCAGTTTTAATCTTCTGTGAACAGATAACCAGTTTTCCCAGCATCACTTGTTAAATAGGCTGTCTTTCCTCCAAGATATACTTTTGGCCCCTTTGTCAAAGATCAAATAGCTGAATGTGTGTAGTGATGTTTCTGTACCCTCTATTCTGTTCCATGAATCCATGTGTCTGCTTTTGTTTCACTACCATGCCATTTTTATCATTATTGTTTTGTAGTATAGCTTAAAGTTAGGTATCATATGTGTGACAACAAGATCATCAGTACCATCTCTCATTCCATACTAGTATTACCCCACCAGTATGCTTTAAGTGAAAATTGTGTACTACAGATAGTCCTTGTGTAACGACCTACCTGTTTAATGACTGCTGGACTTATGACCACAGCATGCTGTTCAGATTTACCACTCTCCGCTCTCACTTGTAACCTGCATTCAGACTTATGATGTAAGAACATGAATGGCAGTGTGGCCTTATGGTGGCTTCTTCTACAGTACAGTACTGTGATTTTTGCCAATTGTACTGGATAGGTCGGTACTACATTACAGCACTGCATGTAAGAGTTATGGAAATAAAAGCAAAGTCATTAAGTTGGAGTTTCCCTTGACCATTTCTTTGTTCTGAACATTGTAAAGTACAGGCTGTATACAGTTCCTCACTTAGTGAGCGACTCACTTAACAACCCAGCTGCAGGAGCAGAACTCGGTTGTTAAATGAGAAATGTCTCAAATGACTGCAAGCCCTTTCACACACTTGAGATATGTGCACTGAAAAAGTATCACACAGCAAATAACAGCATTCTATTAAATAGGAGAATAATAATGAAGTTAAAAGTTGAATATCATTCTCTCACTGGAATTCAGAGATGGTAGTGGAAGTGCAATAGACTGCTGCTTTGTAAGTAGTTAAAATGGTTTTACTTTTTAAAAATATGAACATGTTACATTGAGAAAAATATTATCCCGCCTCCTAAAAGTAACCCCACAAATCAAACAATAGCAACAAATATCATCCTACTAAAGGTCATTGGGACCATAGATGTATCTTTTAATCTTTGTGTGCTCTTGATCAAGTCAGATATGTCATGCCTTGGTCTTTCCACCTCTAATGCGGAGTCTGAAAAAGATGATCTCTAGGATCATCTGTAAAGATCAGCTCTGAAATTCCAGTATATTTTTTAATAGGGAAAACCACCCTATGGGAGTAAGGGTACAGCTCAGTAGTAGAACATGTCCTTAGCATTCACACCACTGTGAGCTTAATTCTGTAGCACCAAAATACATGAATACATGGTTAATACAGGAATACTTTATTATAAAAATTCACATCTAGCTGTGGTGGGACATGCCTGCAGTGCCAGCACTTGGGAGGCTGGGGCAGAAAGATTCCAAGCAAGACTCTTACTCAAATCAAAAACAAAATTTCACTCATCACTGTAAAGGTGATAGTCATCATATGTCTATTAAATTTTGTTTTTTTTTTGGTTTTTCTCTGGTACCGGGAACCGAACTCACAACCTTGTGCTTGCCAGGCAGGCGCTTTGCCACTGAGCTAAATCCCCAGCCCCTATTAAATTTTTTTTTGAGACAGGGTTTCACTATGTATTGCAGGCTGGCCTTGATTCACTATGTAGCTCAGGCCGGCCTTGAACTTGCAGTGATCCTCCTGCCTCAGTGTCCCCAGTGGTGGGATTATAAGTGTGCACCACTATATCTGGCTAAATTAAGTTTTAAAATAATAATTCCTTTCTTTGCTTTTTCTTTTTGGTTTTTTGAGACAGGGTCTTGCTATGAAGTTCAGGCTGACCTTGAACTCACTATGTAGCCAAGGCTTGCCTCAAACTCAGAGCAATCCTCTTGCCTCAGCCTTCCAAGTGCTGGAATTACAGGCGTGCACCACCATGCCCAGCTAAAATAATAATTCTAATAGCAAAAATGAAATATATTTACTGAAATATATTTACTGTCAAAAATGCTTTATATCATTAATTTCTTCTCTTAAAAAGTTGTTTATTATAGGCTTGGTAGTATATCTTAATGGTAAATGCTTAGCACATGCAAGGCCCTGGGTTTGATCCCTAATGCCAAAAACAAAAGGTTATGATATACTTTTATTCAACAAGAGAAAAATACACTCTTTATGTTGCCCACTAATATGTCCCAAGTATCTAGAGCAGTGTCTAGAAAATAGAGATGTTCAGTATTTGTGTAATAGAGCGGTGAACTCACTGTAAGAACATTGTCTTCAGGTTTCCTTTGCTTCTTCTGATAAGTCAGTTCCAAATCTAATTATTATTCCTTTGGGGATAATTTTTTTCTTTGTGTTTCTAAAATTCTCTTTTTTGGTCTGTAACAGTTTTTTACATGTACAATAAAACCTTGGTTTATGAGAATAATTTGTTCCACTCATAATCCAAAGTATATCAAAGCAGTGAGACAGAACAAGAGAGAAGAATGAGTTGTGACCATGTGACATTCAGCATGATGTTCGGCTTGTATTGCAAGACATCACTCGTTTATCAAAGGAACATAAGACTGGATCCAATGGCCCCATCCCTTTTCTACTGTAAATTTGTAATTTAGTGTAATAGTAGCCAGGTGTGCATCTGCTCAGCTTTCCCTGAGTGTTACAGGAAGCAATCGATGTGTTTACCCACTTCGCATGATGAACG